AAATTGGCATGCACTCAAAAAGAAATATTAAGGCAGAATTTATATAATTTCGTAAAATATATATATTTTTTAATATTTAATTTAAACTTATTGTAACTTATTGTTGCATTGTATAGATTTTTGTATTCCCCATTAATTTTCAACAAGCTTAAGCTGCCAAATGGTAGCAGAATATTGGTTTAAAAAAATATAAAAAAATTTTTTTTATAAAAAAAGTCAGCAAAATTTGTTTTTTCGATTAATTATAGTAACCGTTTGACATATTTATAAAAGACCTCACTTACAGAATTTAAGACTGTAAGTATTTATTATACTCTGTACATGAAATGTCTGTCTGTCCGTCTGTCTGTCCGTATGAACACATGGATCTCAGAGACTATAAGAGATAGAGACACCAAATTTTCCACAAAGATGCCTTATGTGTGTATTCCATACGAGTTTGTTTTATTTTTTTATTTTCCCCCCACTTCACCCCTATGGGGGTTTTCCCGATTTTCCATTCGTATAATCGCCTATATCTCGGAGACTATAAGACCTAGGAACACCAAATTTTAGTCCCAGATGCCTTATGTGAATACGCAGAAAATGTATATTTTGGAATTCCCCTCCCTCCCCCTCTACCCCGCAAATCGTAACTCCCGTAATTATTGGAATTTCGAACTAAAATTTTGGAAATACCCCCAGTTGGTTATTATGTGTCCGTATGCCAAGTTTTAGACCGATTTAACAAGAAGTTATAGCCATAATATAGCCATGTTGTTGATATTGCTGTTTGGTTGACTGCTAACATGTTTACACAGACACGAATAGATGCGCATAGGCATACATACACTCACACAAACGTAATTGCTATGTAAATATGCAATTATATACCCTTTACGTGAGTTCGAATACCGAGAAAGGTAAAATCGATCAAATTTTTTATTTGTACAGAGTATTTCAAAGTAGGGACACCCGACTTTAGCTTTTTTACTTGTTTGTAATTTAAATTATGATACTGATATGATGGCAGTCCCATGATGTTAACCAGACACTACTCTGAAAAAAATGCACATTCTGAGATTCCAAAGAAAATTTTGATTAATACAATCGTTCCTTGAATACTGATTAGAGGAGGACACTAAAAAGTCTTAATGCGAATCGAAGCATATTTCGTCATCATTTTATAGAAAGTATATTTTGTCGGAAACTCATTGAATAAGGAGGCGTAGGAGAGAAGTTATTGTTAAATAATAATGAACTATTCTGAACGCAAAAATAGCAAGAAAACATCGATAAAAATTAAATTAAAAAATTCGATTCGCAATTGCAGTCATTATGTACACACCTGATTACAAATAAAATAAACTACGTATTAATTTTGAGATAGCTGTCAAAAGTGAATCCACCAATTTCAAAAAAAATGAACACTAAAGCATCTTAATAACAAACAACTTTAATAATAATAATTAATTATATTAATTATATTAATAATTAAATATTTAAACCGATTTGAGTCATTAGCCGTCAAAAATAGGGAGAGTCTATCACGACCAGCAAACAGTAAAAATTATATGAAGAACCGAAGGAGCAGCTTCCCTTTTTTCGAGAAACTTTGGGGAGCGAAGTAGCTTTGTTATACCTACATGGTACTTATTAAATCGCGTCCCAAATCTGTATAGCCACGAACTGTGAGATTTTATTAATATTAATATTAATATTAATTTTAATTAATCTACATATTAAACAAAAAGAGTAGAAATAGTTTTCAGAGCTAATACACGTGAAAAAGAAAGCTGGATACAAATGAGAGGAAATGGCTCAGAGCAATCGTACAGAAATGGGAAGAGAACTATTTTACAAAAGCATAAACAGATCCTGACAGCGCACCCTGTATATTCCTAGACATGCTGCACCTATCAATGTCAATGTTTGCTGGCGATTGGTCAGTCCTTCCAGTTAGACATTTGTATCTACATTTGATGGCTAGTGATGGGGACTGAGTCGCATATTATTTACATTTTATAATTGTTGTAAATTAATAAAAGTCACATGACCGCCCCACCCTTTCGCCGCACCGCCACCTCTGACCAGCGACACAACCACAGTTGCAGCCAATTGCAAGTATAAGCCATGAGAACAGCCTGCGGGCGACATTTCAGCGTCTCTTTGGACCGAGTTTCTTTTTCGTTCTCAGCTCGCTTAGCGCTCAACCATTCGCATTCGTACATTTGAATGTTCGAGTAGTTAAAGTTAATCAAATCGTAATTACCAGCCATTTGGCCGCAGGGCTCAAAACATTTTAAAAAGCAAACTTGTTTTCTAAATACGCGTCACTCTCCGCTGTTGAGGACGAGGGAGGGGAGAGGCGCACATTTGTGGATCTGATGACTGCACGGAGCTGCCTGCATCGACAACCAAGGCTATGTGTCAGTCAGTGTCTGCCAAAGTCTGGGGCCTAATGTGCAAAAAATTGCGCATATTTGTCAATGGGATTGGCAAACTGGTTAGCTGAGAACGCACAGGTTGTCTGTTTTTTATATTTAGATTTCTCATATTCAGACAGCTATTTAATTGCTGCCTAATAATCATATGCCTTTTTAATTATGAAGAGTACAAACGGCATGCAATTAATTTTATGTTAATGTCTGTACGAGACAGACATTAATTGGCCTTGGCCTGAGCTTCTCCATTTTCGAAATGCACTTAATTCTCTAAGACTATGTTATTTGTATGGGCTCTGATTTACTCCATTTACTATTATTTATTACCTCAAGGTATACATAGTATTGAATTAAATTAAGATACACCTTTGGCATACAAGTATTATATAATAAAATAAATAAAAGTAGCAAATAAAACTATGATTAGTTGCTACTCCTTTATATACTATACTATATGTTTATGGCAATCAATGTTTCACTGTGCATTCATTAATAAATTAGTTTTAGAATATCGATGGCCATTTGAAACATTTGATGAACATTGAAAGAGTTTCTTTTAATCGAATGTAATGTAGATTTATATTGATAATTTAATCGCTATTTCTTAACCTGCTTCAATAATAATATTGAAGAAGAGCCGATTAATGTCATTTTATCCTAGAAGCACAATGCCGTTTGTTACAATTGTATTCCATTGCTTCTATCGATGATAAAATATACTTACTTACTTATATATTATCTCTTAGTTAACATTGCGTATACGTCATGAGGAACATGTGCGTATGCATTAGAGATCTGCATGCCTGTGCTCATTCGCGTGAGTAGGGAGAGCCCACTCAAAGGCTGACTAGGATGAATGATTAAAGTACGAACAAGAAGAGCTCTCCCTGGTTTTTAGTTTTCTTGGTCAGTGCTGCTTCGATAAAAGTTGTAAGAGAAGGGCGTCAGCGCAAGAACTGGAGATAATCCAAACAGTGCCAAGTACATTCATATTCAAAATTCAATTGGCAGAATCGATTACAACCATTTTGTCCTCCGATCTGAAAGGCAGAAATTAAACACTTGGAACATTTATACAAAAGAAATGCAGAGTTTTCATCGTTTTGAAAAAATGGACGAGGACTAATGGTTATTTTTTTAGAAGCGCATTGTTCAGCACTTTGTATTTATTTGAGAGTTTTCTATGGCATTCAAGTAAATCTTGAGACCAATAACTGAGCACAATTCCGGGGTATCATTAACATTGTTTAGTTTCATAGATCAGAGTAACTGAGTTCAATTCATTTAAACTCTTATATAATTGTTACTAAGCAAAATTCATGCGAATGTTTTAAAGCGGCACTTGAATGCCTTGGTGCAGTCCTCTAATGAGCTCTTGCCATATCATAATTAGTGCATGTGCTGCCTCCGACCATACCAACAGCGACCCCCTGAACCCCTCAGCCCATCACAAGCACGCATAGGTGTGCGTGGGGATAGTGACGCGCCTTGTCGCCCATTGCTGTAAATGCCGACTTGGCTCGTCTTTATCATCAGTGTTTGTTGCCGTTGTTGTTGCTGTTGTTGTTGCTGTTGTAGCCGTTGTCGGGCGAGTAGTAACGATGCTTAAATCAACGTGATTTTCGTGTGAAAATCTCGGCAATGCACTTGCGGCTAAATTAACAACTAAAGCCGCACAAGCGGCGGCCAATGAAGTAATGAAGCGACGGGGCGATGGAGCGTTGAAGCTGGAGCCGAAGCTGGAGCTGGAGCTGGAGCTTGAGCGTTGAAAAACGAGCCTTATGTGGCCCATTGGCTGTCTGGCTATCTGGCTTTCTGGCTATTTGGCTGACTGGCCGTTAACTGCTTTGGCTGCTTGCTCTTTTGCTTTTATTTGTTGTTGGCGGCGGCTGTGACGACGGTTTGGCGATTTTGTCTTGTCCACGACCGAGCGAAATAACGCTCGAGGCGCATTTGGCGCATTGTTTGTATGGTCGTGTGTGTCTGTTTGTCTGTATGTGTGTTTGTGTGTATATGTGTGTGTGTGTGTGTTAAGTGAGTTAAACGCAATGAAAACCAAATATTCCCACACAATCAGCCAATGCTTATATGTGAAATATATTGCTTGTAAATACTTACTTGTATGTGCGAGTATGCATGTGTGTGTGTCCATGTAAGCTTAACTTTTTGTGCATGTGTGTGTGTGTGTGTGTATGTGTGTGCCCTGTGGGTGCTGTAAGCGATACGGCACCAAATTTGCCCGCTTGGCATTTTTGTTGTCACGTTTGCTGTCCTTGTGATGTTAGCGGCGGCGTCGGCATCAGCATCGGCCACTCAGTTTCCATCTCAGGCTCTGTTTTTGTTTTTATTTTTGTTTCTGTTTTTCTGTGTGTATTTTTTTGTTGTTGTCTGAGCTTCATGTAATCAATCCCAAGTTAATTTTACGTGAATTGGTTCTCATGCTTGGGCGACCGCGGCTTACATAAGTGCCTATAGACGGGTCGGATCTGTCTGTTTTCGCATTTGCTCATCAAGCTGACAGCTCCATTTTAACCAAACAACTAATTACCGTTCCGTTTCGATTTGTTGCGGTTCTAGGAAAAAATGCGATATGGATCGAGAGCGCGAAAGAGATGCAAAGTCCCTGGAGCCGCGCGACCTATCGTCCACGGGTCGCATATACGCCAGAAGCGATATTAAAATCAGGTAAGCAGCTAACTACCTGCACTATTATAGAAATCTCTGATCAAATATAACCGTCAGTTGTAGGAAATTTGTTACACAAAAGCTATTCCCGTCCTTGGAAATCCATTTAGTTGTTCACTTAAATCTTTAAATATTGTTATTGAATTATTATTAAATTTCTTTTGGCTCGCGACCAATTCAGATTATCGCTATCAGACGTGTGTAGGAAGACATTGAGCCTGCCAAGCCCTAACAATATAATTCAATGTGTATTACAGTCCACGCAAATGGTATTCCTTTTGTTGTTATTCAAATCTTTTGCAACTGTTGTAGAAGCTGGGCCGGATTGTCTTTTATCGCAACAATAAAGACAGGAAAAATGATATACGGAATATAAACAAATGCATGTAAATGAATTAAAATTATTTATTCATTTTTATGACAACACCGAGTATTTCAGTTTGATTATTGATTATTACCTCAAAATATGCAGAATTGCAGCCTAAAATAAAATACCATGACATTACCATGACTTTAGAAGACTTTAGAGCTTAACGATATCAACCCGTTCAGCTTTTGTTGTAAATTTAGGCAATCAGATGAATGGCCATCAATACTCATCGAATGGAAATCAATACTCATCAATCTGACAAATTAATTAACCTATGTATTCGACCATTCTTCTTATTGTTAGTGGTATCTTTATCAATTAAAATAATTGCAACTACATTAAATTCATCTTTGCAGACATTACCGGTCTTTGCTATTCCCATTTATTTGTTGATCACTTATTTAGAAATAAATTCGACATATCTTTAACAAGGAAACACAATATATCTAATTAAAAGTGGATTAGAGTTCGGAATTTGTTTTGGATTGATAACAACCAAACGTTAAAATCTATAGATATTGTTCGTTTATTCTGGATCTGAGTAAAATAAGTAATCCAATTCTGACTCTCTGAAAACAACAACCGTCTCAAAAAACATTCAGAATAACAGAATGACTGCCCTACAATTAACTAATAATCTTACTAAGCTAAATAAGCAACTTAAGCGTGTTAAAAACTATAAAAAATATGCACCTTTAACATTAAACTTTAAAAGAAAACTTTGCTTGGAATACCGTCGGTATAAATGAGAATTTTCCATCTAGATTTGTGGAATTTTTAAAAACATAAAATATTCCACAAGTGCAACAGCAGGACCTTTGTGTCTCTTTAAATTGAACCATGATTCGGTAAAGCTTTGCCTAAGTCGATTAAAAACCTATGCATGCAAATTGAATTCCCTCAAAAAAAGAGTATATTGAAATTGTACTTTTATGGCAGCTACTAAGTATTGTGTTGCACTTACAGCGCTTCGCCCACTGTCTCGCCAACGATCTCAAATTCCTCATCGCCCACACCGACGCCACCCGCCAGTTCCTCAGTGCCACCGCTGGGCCTGCCGGGTGCAGCAGCTGTGGCCGCTGTGGCAGCAGCAGCGGCCGCCGCAGGTGCTGGACCCGGCAGTGCTGCGGCCGCGGCTGCCAGCGCCAGTTCCTATTTGCACGGCAACCACAAGCCCATCACTGGCATCCCCTGCGTTGCAGCGGCTTCGCGGTACACAGCACCGGTGCACATCGACGTGGGTGGCACCATCTACACCAGCTCGCTGGAGACACTCACTAAGTATCCAGAGTCGAAGCTGGCCAAGCTCTTCAATGGCCAGATACCCATTGTGCTGGACTCGCTGAAGCAGCATTATTTCATCGATCGCGATGGCGGAATGTTTCGTCATGTGCTGAACTTTATGAGAAACTCAAGACTTCTAATTGCCGAAGATTTTCCCGACCTGGAGCTGCTGCTTGAGGAGGCACGCTACTACGAAGTGGAACGTAAGTTGCAAGTGCACTCAGAGAAAATACGCAATACGACTCTAGGGATAGGAAATCAATGTAGAATAAATACAAATATTAATTGAATAATCTCCCAAGCAGAAATGTGCAAGGATAAATAATAAAAAGAAGAACAGGATAAATTATTATACCTGTTGGGATGTTGGGAAACAAATTTAATTGAATAGTGAGAAATATTTATATTAGAAATGTTAATATAAGTATTTTATTGGTTTGGGAAGTTAGGTGTTAAAATCACCACTAACTTCATAGAATAGAAGACGAGCGTTATTTAAACATTGATATTTGGTATATAATGGGAATATTTATTAACTGTTCATTCTTTTGTAAATTGTTGCCCATATGGCTCTCCATTTAAGTTCCGATAATAATAAGTATGATAGATCGTGTAACTATTTTCTCTGAGTGTTAGAGCTAGACTAAGAAGTTGGAAATTGAGGAATAATTTGAATTTCTAATTTTAATTCCAACCGGCAGCGATGATTAAGCAGCTGGAGAGCATGCGCAAGGATCGCGTACGAAACGGCAACTATTTGGTGGCGCCACCCACACCGCCAGCGCGCCACATCAAGACGAGTCCGCGCACCAGTGCGGCGCCCGAATGCAATTACGAAGTTGTGGCGCTCCACATATCGCCAGACTTGGGCGAACGCATTATGCTGTCGGCGGAGCGTGCACTGCTCGACGAGCTCTTCCCGGAGGCCAATCAGGCGACGCAATCAAGTCGTAGCGGTGTATCCTGGAATCAGGGCGACTGGCGGCAAATCATACGCTTCCCACTGAATGGCTATTGCAAGCTAAACTCGGTCCAGGTGCTGACAAGGCTGCTCAATGCCGGCTTCACCATCGAGGCGAGCACCGGCGGCGGTGTCGAAGGACAGCAGTTCTCCGAGTACTTGCTGGTGCGTCGCGTTCCAATGTGATAAGCTTGTCGTGGACACAATGTAATCTATGTGCGAATTACGCACTAATTGGTGGCAGCCCCTGGGCTGACCACAACACACCCACACCCACACACACACACACACACAAACACACACACATACATACACATTCATAAAATAGATGATTCATGCGTGTGGTAGTAGTTGGTGAGCGAAGGAAGGGGGCGAAACTGTCTGCGGAATGCAATATTGGCGATGCTTCGGTTGGAGGAAGAAGCTTGCAAATTTGAATCCAAATGTTATTTAATGTTTATAAATTAAGTTTGCTTGTAATGACACCCACACACATACACACACAAACACACACACAAACACACACACAATCACACTCGTATATATATGCATATACATATGTATATGTATAGTAGCTGTGTTGTTATTCGAGTAATTTATTATTATGCATAAACACTTACATACTTCTTTAGAGTCTAGTTCAAGAGCCCAGCACTGATTTGTTTATGGCCTAAGTTTATATGGCGGATGTTTTGTTTTAAAGTACATTTGAGTTGTTCACTTGTTTAGGAGTAGCCACACAATGTAAGCCATGTCTCGGACATGCTCGTACATACATACATATCTTTCAGATACTTACTACATACTTACATGCGAGTACTGCATGTAGTGAACGACTAAAAACACACGCAAACTAAGCGAATTACACTCACATACACACACGGCCACACAGTCTCGCCCGCAATACAATATAGCAATAGTTTTGTAGTAATTGATGTAATTGAACTTTTATGAATGTAAACTATGAATTACCTTCTTCAATATACATACTTATAAATATTATTAATAAACATACAGACATGCAGACACCTAAGTCGAAGTCTATACATACCTACATACATACATACAAGAATTTGAACCGGAACGTATAGATATTCCATAAAAGTTTGCGCGTAATCGTACTCTAGAAAATCAATTAAATTGTCTTAATTACGTATTTAAATAAAGGAAATTATGTGTAAAGAGTTTCTAAGCGTGTGTTTTTTTTTTTTAATTTAATAACTGCACGCAAACAAAAGCTTTGCGTCATGTGTTCGTGCATTGTGTAACATACTCAAAAGCTCAACGCTGCGGCCAATTCCTGTATAACACTTTCAAAGTACCTTGCAAACTGTGCTACAAACCAATTGCTTGAAAATTGGGTATTTTGTTTGAAGCTCACTTTATAGTGATTTTTGATACATATGCGATTATTATGTTTCCAAATATAAAACTTAGGAACCCCCAATTGGAGCCAGGGAGGGGCGAAAAACTCTGGTTTGTAGAGTCGCCGAAATCCAGTAACTCATCCAAACAATGACGACACTTGTCAACGTGAAATATAAATATACATTGAAATCTCTCTTGGCCGGACACTCACTAATATTATAACATATCTTGCAAAACTGAGCATAGCTGTGAAATAATTAAATAACAACAATAATATGTGCACGAATAGCGGAAAGTACATAGGATATTTTATAAAAATCAAGTGTCCGCATCCGGTCAAGAGAGTGTCCGCACAAGAGAGTCGGACTTGCGCTAAAAAGTACACCGAAACGAATGTTCTAGAAAAAGTATTCGTCTAAGAGCGGTGTCCGGTTAAAAGAGGTGTCCGTTAAGGGAGTTTTTACTGTACACATATGTCTATGTCTTCTGTGACATATTTTCCACAAACCACTTATAACATTATATCCTGCAGGGTTAAAAAATTATAATGATAAATTGCAAGGATCTTACATCGGAACGGCTCATTGAAGTGGCAACTATTCAAATGATTGCACCAAGTCGATTCAGTTGAAATTGTAATTGTAGTGAACTACGGCGAAATGAAATTGGTGTCGACTGCTTTCAAACGAGAAAAGTTCTTATAGCATCAACTTATTTATAATTGCGGCAAATTACCAACTGCCCCTGGTACGTGCGCGGCTCGACCCTTCACCGAGACCTAAACCTGTTCACCGTGGAGGAGCAGATTGGAAGGCATACAAGTAGATACAGTGACAGGCTTCTGGGTCACCGCAGTTTGCTTGCAAGAGGACTCCTTCCTGCTAGACCTTTGCTAAGACTGAAACGATTAGGTTTTTCAAAACATTTAGATAAGCATAAGCCACCACTAACTTATTAATCCTCGCGCGGAAGTGCTCGAGGTTAGGCTATTTTATATTTGTAAAAATGTATTGTTAAGGTGCTAATCTGAATGCACGGCTTCAATGCTTTGATTAAACAGAAAAAAAAAGAAAAAAAACTTCACACAATACTCTGTATTCTGCATTCCGTATCCGATCCATCTGAAGAACGTCTGTTTTTTCTGCATACTAGTACAAGTATGTCTTCAGTTGCTTGCTTGCTATTGATTGAGTTCCTTAATCACACACATTTCGTTTTATTTTCAAACGTTTTTTATTTGTATGTATGCACATATCTTTGCGTAGATAAACTACTATTAATTTAATTAATATGTATATGTATAAGCCAACTACGCTATATACATACTATAATTGTATAAAATTGGCAATTAATAGCTTATCATAATTATTATGTATACTAATTTACAATTTTCATTTAAATCTTTGATCAACATTTTGTAGCCTATGCTGATTCGCTTACATTTAAATCAGTGTGTTCGTTTTGTGCCAAGTTAAAAAAAAGAAATAAGAAGATAAGTAGTATGCATTAAAAACCTTGTGGGGAATCGCATTTGCATGGCACGCTCGGCATTAAGTTGCTATTAAACAGTTTTCGTTTTATTGCAAGGGTTGGCGGATTGTGAATCGAAATCGAATCGGCTATAATTGTACAAATAGTAAACGTTGTCTAGAAAGTATTCTTTGTGGGACGTCTTCCTATTAGATTTAAGTATACCAATATAATTAAAAGTCCTCGCCTAAAACTATATCACAGTTGGAAACTAGGGGCTAGAACAACATCAGTATGAATATTTGTCAGCGGCTACAGAAATCCACTTTTTAAACTAGAAATAAGTTTAGCTTAGTGTGTGCCTGTTACCTGACCGCGGGCCTCGAGGGCCAAAATCGTCGGTGGCTGGAGGCGTCTAAGAAATGCACTATCGGTGTTTTGTTCTCGTAATTACATTTGCTGGCTACGGCTAAGAGTAACATATCGATTAGGAGGCATATGCACATGAATTGTACAACTAAGAATAGGTGTGTCTATTCTGGGACTGGCTAAGTACGCTACGAGTAAGTAGTATTGGTAGTAATGTACAACTAGACTATTCGTTTACAAGGACCCAAGGGTCCCATCTATGATAACAGCATTCAAAGGCACATCTGGAGCAGCAGCTTGGCAACTGCAACTGCATCTGCATCTGCATTCGCATTCGCATCCGAAAAAGGCACTTGGGTTCTGGGCCGTGCCCGTGGCAAGATATTCCATGTGTTTTTGTTTTTGGCAGTGGATCGGCCTTCGCCGCTCATTTCCTCAGTTCGCTCAGTTCGCTCGGTTCGCTCGGTTCCCCTCGCTTGCGTGTCAGACACGCGTCTCAGTGTTGCGATTGCGATGCAGAGGCTGCAGCTCCCGCTGTGTATCGTTGTAGTACTCATGGTCGGAGCTGGTGGGCTCCGAGCCCGGCACCTTCACCTCCATCGTACTGGGCACCCCTAGGACGGGAATGCCGATGGTCTGGGTGGGAATCGGCGCCTCGCCGGAGCTTAGTGCTTGCGCATTCATCAAGTACTCGGGATTGTCGACGCTGACTGGCACACCAATGAGATCCATGTAGCCGGCGGTGGCTGCAGCGCTCAGGCCATTCTGCATGTTGTTATTGGGATTGATGGTGTTGTTGTTATTGTTGTTGCTACTGCTCTGGCACGTGGGCATAAGGTAGTCGTCCTCATCGACGGGTAGATCAAGTCGCAGATTTCCAACGCCCACCTCACGAGCGTTTGAATCGGTCTCATCATCGCCGCTAGAGTTCTTGTTGCTGGGATCTTTGCAGTATCGGTTGAGTTTGGGGATTTCATCGGTGCCGTCTGTGCGGTGACTGGGACCGGGTGCTGCTTTTGGCTGCAGATAGTCGTCAGCCTCGACCATGGCCTCGGGCCCGTCGGTTGTGGGCGCCAGCTTGCGGATGAGATCTTTTTCGTCCTGACTCGTGTAGGCGGGCAAACGCGTGAACTTGTCACCGGGTATGGCCAGGTAGCGACCCGGATCGCGGGCGAATTCCGCAAATACCGTGGTCAGCTGCTTGAACGAGGGACGCATTTCGGCGTCCAGGTGCCAGCAGGAGAGCAGCGTGCAGTAGATGTCCAGGGAGCAAATCTCCGGCTGCTCCAGCTTCAGGCCCACCTCAATGAGATCGGGTATGTCTTTGGCGGGTATGTTCTCGTGCGGTCGTTGGCCAAAGGTAAGCAGTTCCCAAATGGTAACGCCGAAGGCCCACACATCCGATTTGCTGGTGAAGACGCGATGACGTATGCACTCCAGGGCTAGCCACTTTATGGGCATCTTGCCGCCAGCTGCCTTGTACTCGTTCGAGTCGCTGCTGAGTAGCTTGGCCAGACCGAAGTCGGTGATCTTCACCAGGGAAGGCGTTTGTACTAGGACATTGCGAGCGGCTAGATCCCGATGAACCAGACGCTTCTCCTCCAGATAGGACATACCCTTGGCTATTTGTGTGGACCAGTTGAGCAGCGCCTTGGAGCCAATCTTATCGCGATTGTTGCGCACATAGTCGAGCAGGCAGCCCAGAGGCATGAGCTGGGTAATCAGCATCATCTGCGAGGACATGCACACAGCTAGGAGCTTCAACAGGTTTCCATGCTCCACGGACGCCATTATGTAAGCCTCGCGCAGGAACTCCTCACTCGATTCGGCACCGGACGACTTCAGCAATTCCTTGATGGCCACTGGTATCTTAACATTCTCGCCCTCCGGCACCCACACACCCTTGAACACACGTCCGAAAGCGCCCATGCCAAGTACACCGCCCTTGCGCAACTCGGCATCCTTTACGATCCGTAGTTTGCAGAGATTGGCGCCGATGTTGGAGGGACGCAGTGGTTCAGAGTCCTCGCAGCCGGAGAGGGCCATTGTCATTTTGACCGTATCGTTCTTAGCCTTGGACTTCTGATAGTAAATGTACCCGATGATGAAGAGGCCGCTGCCGAGAATCAAGCATACAGACAGCACAATGATCATAATCATGTTCGAGTCGAAGGCAGCACTCAGCTTAGAGCCCTTGGGCGGACTCGAGGCGCAGAATGGTCCCAAATTGAGCGACTGGTAGTTGATGTGTGGAAATTCCAGCGGGCACTTGGATGTGCAGTTGAATAAGGTGGAGTTGTCGTAAGAGTCGCTTTCACCAAAGAGCTTAAAGTTGCGGCAGGCCAAGCAATCATCGGCGCCAGGACCAGTGCAGCCCTTGCATTCGGGATGGCATTCGAAGCATTCGTGCAGAGCCTCGTCAGCGTAGTGGTCCGGCGGACACTCGTCCTCGCACTGCTCGCCACGCTTGTAGCCGGCACACTCCGAGCAAACCTGCTCGTGAAAGCCGTAGTTGGAGCATTTTTTGCAGCGCGGATGACATTTTCGGCAAATAGCCTTTCCGGCAAGTGGTTTGAGCGAAGCCTGCTCTAGTGGATTCACATACTCCCAGTAGTAGCCATCGGGGCACTTGTCGTCCTTCATCAGGCATCGCTCGATGCTGGCATCGTTGTTGATAATCGCCAAGTTGCAGGTCTTGCAGCCCCCGGGGCCAATGGTATTATTCGGACCTGTGCAGCCCTCGCAGGTGGCGTGGCACTTACGACAAATTCCATAGTCCGAATACTTGTCCTGTGGGCAGACAGTGACGCAACGTTGCTCGTCACGCACATGTACGCAATCGTCGCAGTGCTCGGGTCCGGGACCGGAACAGGTGCGACACTCAGGGTGGCACATCTTGCAGGTTTTCGAATCAAACTGGTAGGCACTAGAATGGGATTACGCGTTAGAAACATTACTCTAATTTTCCAGTCGAGTTACTTACTTAGTTATGTTGCGACAGTCCGCAATGCAGGTGCCATTGAAGTTGAAATTTTTACAGTTGAGACACTGGTCGGATCCAGAACCCCAGCAGCCCTCATGATTACACTGATCCGAGCACACGAGACCCTCTTTGGCTGCAAATAAAAGCACAAAAATTAACAAAATACTTAAGAGGGCGCTCTTTAGCTCTTCTATTCATTAATCTTCTTCATTAATTCATTAATTCATTAATCCCTAAATATTAAAAAATTCCTCATACTTTCAATGAACTTCTACTTTCATTCGATTATTTATTCGTTGATAGCTGGAATTATCTAAAACTCTGAAAGCGATTTATTTCCCTTCCATTATCCACATTATTTTCTTACATTTATCAGAATTTTTTGATCAATCAAAAATCTCTTCTTAAAACGAATTCTATCACTTCAAATTCTTCTTTTCTGCGTTTCGGTATATTAAAAATCCTGTATTAACACTAGCTCTCCTTCTTTTTAACACTCATCCAATAACATCAAACTTCCTACTTGTAATCTTTTCGATCACATTTTTCAACTTTTCTTCTCTCTCTCTCTCGCCTTCTTTCATTTCTTCAACAGATCAAATCTTTCTATTGACATTGCCCAACATCTTCTCTTCTGCTTATACAAATAGCGCGATTGATCAAAAGCACTCTATTAACACGAATTTTTGTGTTATTTAAAACTAATCAAGACAACAAATCGAAGCCAAGCTAAAGTGAGATGTTTTGTGAAAGTATAGAAGAGAAGCACTTACTGCAGTTGAACTCGCTGTTGTTCTCATAGATGTATGTCTTCTGATCTGGGGACTTTTGCAAGGTGCGCCATTGAATGTTGCCAACGTAGCACAACTCTTTGTTGTGCTGTATCATGACGCTGCCGGAGTTGATGCGCTTAAGACTGCGCAGTTCAAGGCTCTTCAGTGAAGATTTGACAATGGAGAGGGCGGCGAAAAAGCTCTCCATCAGTTGACGTCCGTGTATGATCTCCAGATTGCGGAAGTAGGACAAATTCTTGAAAGCCGGATGTACGCCTTGTATGTCCAAGTATCCCGTGATTTCCTTGACCGTCGAGAATACCTCTAGGCGATCGGGATGCATGGGTATGAAACGTTCGCCGAGCGAGTAGTTCTTATGGACGTCCTGGAAGCCGGAAAAGGTTTGATCCAGCACACGAATATTACCCTCAATGACCGTGCAGTTTTTGTACGAATCAATGTTGCCCGAATGCAGAACCAAGACGCTGGGACAGGTCTTTGGGCAGGGTCCATTGCAGGGAACACATTCGCCATCCTTGGCAGTTTTATCGGAAGGGCAGCTGCGCACGCAGGCACCATTGTCTTTCAGCAGGTGACTAGGACACTCCTTGACGCAAGTGGCACCATAGGCGTACTTGCCCTCCGGATTAGCCTCCAAGATGTAGTTGGTTGGGTTGTATTTGCGCATCGCCGGGCACTCCTCCTTACACACTCCCTCATCATAGAAGTTCTTGCACGCAATGCAATCCTTCTGCGTGGGTCCTGTGCATCCGCCGGCGCAGAACAGATGGCAGCACTCCCGCGGTCGAGGTCCATAGCAACGGCCCTGCGCACACTGCGGCGAGCAGTTGATTTTGCTGAACTTTTGACAGTTCTGCGGACCCTCGCCCCAACAGCCACGGTTGCAGGACTCATCACACTTGGGGCACTCCCGTTCTGGAGCCGTAAAGTTGTACGTAAAGTTGAAGTTGTCATTGCTCCCCGATATGATTTCGTTCCATTCAATAGTGCGTGTGTGGCACAAGTTGTAGTTGTTGAAGAAACCCACCGAGCCCTGCAGAATGTCGCGCAGCTCGGGCATTTCCAGGGTGTTCATTTTGGAGTAGGTGGCGAAGAGCGCATATTTCTCCTCCTCATAGTTTAGACTGAACTGCGTACGGCCGCGAATTATTTGAAGTCTGTAGAAAGCACAAGGTTAAGAATGAATTAACTCATTGAGATCCCCGTTTAAAATCGAGGCATACTTACTTTGGAAATATCACTCGAGTGACATCGACATGGCTGATCAGTATATAGCCCGTCACTTCGCGTATGTTGTCCAGAAAGCTGAGATCCAGCTTGGCATCTTGCAGCCAGGTCAGCTCTAAATTGCCATCCACGTAGGTGCAGTTTGTGTAGCGATCCCTTAGATTTCTGTAATGATGCTCCCGGTTCGAGGGCACAGATAGGCGTGATTTCGTGCCAATGCAGACTGTAAATACAGAAAGATGAAGACATCGGTCAGTGAGTGGCGCATACTACACGTATACAAGTATGTGGGTCGGATTTAATCGATTGGAAAATCAATACCCTACACCCACCACTCTGAATGCGGTGGGCGTGCTTTTAATTTTCATTTGTCTAGAAAGCGTGTAGCGCTCTCTGCGCTCCCTAATTATACACATCCATGTCCAACTCGATTGTCAATAAATGTAGGTGTTATTCGAATAATACGAATGTAAAGCAATTAATTTTATTCGAATTATAAACGGAAATAGCAAACGCAGAGCTTTCAAAGAGCGTGCTTTAGGAAATGAGGCCCGTCCGTCAGCAATAGTGAATAGATCAAGTTCGTTGCCTAAGTCTTTAGTTTGTTGTTCAATGTTGTAGCTTGCACTTGATCGGAAGCGCTCGCTCTCTCTCCGTGTATTATAAAATCTAAGAAATGTATACACACAACAACAATGTTACAATAACAAGTGGGCGCAGCAATTTTCAGTTGGCGTTTCCAATAATTAGCGACCCACGCAGACAGACTGAGACTCAGACGCTTGCTGTTATCATTAGTCAGCGACCTGTTTTAGCTGGCGAAGGAAGGTTTGTGGTTGTTGTTTTTGTTGTTGATGTTGATGTTGTTTTTCAGACAAGAGCGCACATCTTTATTGATTTGCATGGCTCGTAGATACAGCTACGAATATACATACAAGTATATGCGAGTATACATGTTTGATGATATTCTTTGAAAGGGCCATGTGGGTTTTCGTTAGCTGCAGCAGCCGCTGCTTGGAGCTGCGTGTGGGCCGCAAAAGTGTGCCATATGTCGGGGCAGACAAAGACACAATGAACAACACCCACCTGGACAGGCTAAGCTACGTGGCGTGCCACGTTGGCGTTGTTAAAAACTCACCCACCCGATTGTCAGCTAATTATCAAGAGTCCAACACATAAATTTATAAAATGTTTATCGATTTCATTTCGTGGAAATAAACAGCAAAAATAATTATGGAAAAAATGGTGTGTAGGGAAATATTTTTGTCGCCAATAAATGCGCTGGGAAGCAAAAGTTAAATACCTGCAGATATGCAGCATTCCAGCAAAAGCAAATAACTCGCTAACGACAACAGCAATAACAACAACAACATCGAAAACAGCCAGAGGTGAAGCAAAACAGTCGGGACGGAAAAAAGGCGCTCGCTGGACATTGATCAAAAGAAGTTGGCGACTGTAGTGCAAAAATTTTCGTACAAATTCTTTGGCATTGTTTTTTGTATGCGAAGAAGAAGATTTGAGCGGACGACAACGTTCTTAATGATAATGATGTTGATGTTGATGATGATGATGGCACGACGTGCACAATTCTGCCGCTGGGATGCTGCAAAGGCTGACCAACGAAGCGACCCGCTCACCTCTTTCATTTCTCATACAGAGCCAACGTTCGAGCCGAGCACGAACGAACCCTTCTCAAGTGAGTTTTATGGACGGCAGCTCTGGCTTTATCGCGCACAATTTATCAGGCTGTGTTCTTCATGTTTTGCCTGAAACTTAAGCCACGACCAAATGCCGCTTCGACTGCTGTGCTGGCCTGCAGAGTTTCTTGTGAAATGCGCGAGGCATATGCGATTTTTCTTTTACTTATAGACAGCGGTAATGCCAAGACACGCCCGCGTTTCTGTGGCGCTGCTCCTTTATTTTCGTTCTTTTTATATACATACGAGCATATCTTTATAGTTTTGTTTTTTCCGTTTTCTCGCTCTGCTGTGCTGTGCTGTGCTCAGAAAAAGGCTAATTTGTAATCCTTAGGCTAAGTGTGGGGACGCTAATGAGTGATGCGCAGTAAGCTTTCGAGTGGCATAGCGGACGGCGGACGGCGAACAACGACCAGCGAACAACGAACGACGAACGACGAACGACGAGCGAACAAATCAAAGTCATAATTCATGATGTGCTCATTAAAACAAAAGACTTAGGCAACGAACTTTGCCATCAAGATAGAAGCTGCCTCACAGTCTCACTCAGCTCCGTATTTAATTATCGATTGTGCATTGCAATCAACACGACACTATAATAGTGCCAACTCCTGCCACCCCCTCGTAGCCCCCTTTCCTCATCTTCCATCCATCCAACATCCAATGCTGTTCACCGCTCGTCAGCACACAACGGGCTGATTAATAGCCAACCGCATTCCAAACGCTTTGCGCTTTGCTGACTTTCTAAATATTGTTTTTCTTCTTTACCATTCCTTACCCTCACCCCCCTAACCCCACACCCAGCGCCACTGCTGCTGCGCCCAATGCCGCTACCACTTCTACCTTGCCCAGCTATGTACAACTCTGTCTGATTGTCTGTCTGTCTGTTGCTATGTTGACTGTTTATTCCTCTCTATACATATACATATATATTTATTTATTTGGTGAAAAGGCCAACAATAGAAAGCCGCATCGAGCATCGAGCAACGCATTCTCGCATGCTCTTGTGGCAAGCTGCATAATCGATTTGAATGCTGCGGCTAACATCAGGCCCTGCCTAGCTACACTTGAAAGAAAATGCTAGTGAGATGCGAGGATCCAAGAATAGTCCAAGAATAGGCCCACCTTAAGTTGGAAAAGTATAATTATATAGACAACACCGGCTTTCCCTATAACTTTGATGCTCTGCTATCACAAATTAATGCCAACTTGTTCAAGCTGAACAATTTTAATCGAAAAATCGAGGGTATTAGATAATCCGAAGCCGCTCTGTTCGATTTATAAAAACAGCCCATCAGCCAGCGTTGCAGAGTCACTATTTTTAGTATTTGAATCTTCATCATATTATTTCGACAGTTGTGTCCGAGTATTCAATAATTAGTTAACGAAATAGCTTGGGTTAATATTTCCATAAAGCATAAAGAGCGAATTGAAAATAATTTGCTTTCGATAATAACATCATAAAACTCTCAGTGTATGATGGTATAGTTCAAGCAGTCGCTCATTACGTAGCCGCCACAGACCCTTCCTTCCAAGACCCTCCTCACTCAAGCAACGTAGTTCTTTTCTTTTTTTTTCTTTTTTTGGTTCTTGCGCTGCAGGCCACAAGCGAGCCAAAGAGCCGAAAGAGACAGTCAAGTCGACTCGCTCAGCCGGTTCTGCGCATTTAACAGTTTTTTGTTTGCCTCTTGCGCTCACGCTTGTCTCTCTGTGTGTGTGTGTGTGTGTGTGTGTGTGTGCGCATGTATGTGTATTTTCATTTCGTGGAAAAGATTTTTAACTCATGCCCAAAACCCAGACCCAAACTGAAACACAGGCAGACCATCTGGATAGCTCCGCTTGCTCTTACGCTGCTGGCGGTTTTATCGTTGATTTTGTACCAACATTGTTGTTGGTGTTGTTGTTATTCGTGTTGTGCTGTTGTTGTATGACCGTCGTGCATGTATCGGTTTTCAACTGTTGTACCCTCTTGTTGCTGCCTCTTGCTGGAGGCTGGCAGCGGCATCATCATCATCATCAACAACATCATGAGCATAGATTTTGTTGTAAAATAACAAAAGATTTAAAAGGGCATTAAGCATGCTTTGTTTTTTCTACAGATTTTTGTTGTTCGATACTGGACTTCTTATTATTCCCCTTCTTCTTCTTCTCCTTCCTCTTAACGTTGTCGTCTGGCCAAACAAATAGACAAATGTGTAGCTGAGCAGACCAGCCCAAAAAAAATATAAATAAATAAACAAAAAGGAGGCAATTCTATCAAATTAAAAGCGCTGGCCACTTCGGAATGCCGTTGTAGCTGCTGGCGCTTTACTTTTGCTATAGTCGTTGTTGTTCTTGGTGTTGGTGCTGTTGTTGTTGTTGTTGTAGTGGCGATGATGACGCTAAGCTGAATTCGAATTCGTTGGGCGCGCAACAAGTACATTGATCTTTGATCAGTTGAGAGGCGATGCCAGACGGAGCATTGTTGTTGCCAGCCATAAGCCACAGCCAGCTCCAAAGCCCAAGTCAAGGCGGCAGCTTGGAGAAAGTCAGCCAAGTGCTACTCGTAAATGTATGTATGTACATGCATGTAGATGTACATATGTACCAATGTATGTATGCAGATGAATGCAGGCATGTTTTGTTAGCCCAACCCCAACCCCAACCCCCTGCTCTGCCACAGCTGCCTCGCTTGGCGCTCTCTGTTTGTTTGCACAAGGTGTTGTAGATTAGCGTTGCCACACGCCACAGGTAGCAATGTTGTTGCTGCTGCTGCTGCTGCTGTTGTTGTTGTTATGGCATGGCAATCGGCCGTTGCACATACATAAATAATTCATAACTGTTTTGCGACAATTCAGTCGCGGCACGCGCCTCTGCAGGCGCACGGCACACAACACACACACACACACTTCCCAACTACAAGTATTCACATTCATTTACAACGAAATTGTGTAAAAGCGCTTAATAAATTCATTTGCGCGGCCATTAAATGGCTGCAGCAGCAACTCATTACAGTTACAGGCACAGGCCCGTCACTGGCCAGTAAATGTTGCTGTTGCTGTTGCTTTTGCTGTTGCAACAACAATTGCAGCTTAGCCGACGCAGCTTACGTGCGCGGATTTTGTGATTTTGCAGAATGCTGCTGCTGGCTAAGCAACTTTCTTTGCCATGGCTCGAGCACTCAGCTTGTCTACACTGGGCCGATGCCCGTTCTTTGGTCAAAAGGGCGCCCTTGCGCCCGTCGCCATAAAACTATCACGCAAGTCTCTGCAATCTCGCTGAGAGGCTTACAGTATTGGTTGAGGTTACGAGAATTAGTTGGAAGAGAACTTTCTAAAGCAATAATATCTTTATGTTTAATTCTCTTTATAATATACTATAATCCACTGTTGTAGAGTACACGACTGACTAGCGTTAGTTTGGAGTAGGAGAAGGCTGCTCTCCTTAAAAGAAAGATCATAGATCCTACTATATACTACTATATATACTACATAGATCCTACTATATGTGCAGTGCCTTTCCTTCTCTCCTCACAAATTATAAAAAA